TAAAAGAAGTTCAGGAATTTTTGTACTATTCTTGAAACTCTTCTGTAAATTTTAAATTGCATCTTTAAGAAGTCCCCTTACCCCTCCAAAAACAAAATCAAAAATAAAGCTTAGGCCTGGGTTGGTCAAACCCTGCACATTCCCTAGAAGGGCTTATCTTTAGGATTGGCGCTTGGTCGGGTCCTAGGAATTGAGCTGTGAGCCATTGAATTATTCTGCTTAATGAGAGTGTTTTTGTATGCTAGAGGCCTTGAGCCGTGCAATACTTCTCTGATTAGATAGTTTAAGCTAACAATATGATTTATGACGAACTTCTGATTTTGCTCTGGGCAACTGGAGTATGAATAGCTGAGGTCAGTCACACAGGTGTTGCATATCTATGTGACTGACCCCTGATGCCAAGAGTCAGGTGAGTTTCTTGGTTGGCAACACTTTGCAGATGTTGTCATGCATTGTTACTGGGAGAATTAAGCATGTCCACGTGACTCCGCTGGGAAAGGACATGTAGAAGCTTATGCCCAGTTTCTCCTGGACTTTTCCCCGTGTACCTTTTCCCTTTGTTGATTCAATCTGTATCCTTTTTCTGTAATAAACCATAACCACGAGCATAACAACCTGTCTGTCACCTAATATGACTGTGGTCTTGAGGACCTCAGACAAAACTTTAAAGACATTTTAGTAAATGGAAAGGCAGCCATATCAATTTATCCCAAATGATCTTTTAATTTAATGCAATTCCAAAAGCTAGATTCTAAAATTTATATGAAAAATCAAAGATCTAGCTACTGAAAATAAAATATGGTAAGGAAATGTGATCTTCCTGATAACTAGGATTTATTATGAAGTTATAGTTGTTACAGTGTGATTTTGGTACAGGGAGTTAAATTGACCAGTGGAACAGAATGGAGAGTGCTCAAACTAACCCATGCTTATATGGAATTGTAATATAGGACAGAGATACAATTGTAGGCTCACAGAGAAAGAAGGGACTCTTCAAAGAAAGATGCTAGGGTAAAAAGGTGTTTGAATCTCTACCCTACTACATATACAGTAATCAATTCCAATTTAAAGGGATTTAAATATAGACAGTAAAAGCATATGCAGGCTATAATGTATATGAAGATACCGCTCAGCTACAAACAACAAGGAAAGAAGTTGGGGTGCTACCGAGGGATTTAAATATAGAAAGTAAAAGCATATGCAGGTTATAATGTATATGAAGATACCGCTCAGCTACAAACAACAAGGAAAGAAGTTGGGGTGCTACCTACATCGATAATATTTTAATTAAAACTTTCTGAATTTTCTAAGAAACTCTATTTTTCCTAGCATTTCCTTTTCTTATATCTCTGAAACTTATAGGAGTAAGAGCAAATGCTATTAACATTCTTGCAGTTGCTATAAACTTTTTTCTTTTATAATTATCCAAATTTAAGAGTTACCACAGCTTCAAAAGAAAAGCAAGAACAGGGAATGCAAAAATACAAACAAAAAGAACGAGTACAAGGGGCATTTTTCAAGTTTATCAAGATATGAATGCAAGTGCTTCATTTTTTGCCAAGTGTAGAAAAATTAACTTGGAGGAGAACTGGCAGGATCTGGTGATGAGATGTATGTAAAAGAAAAAAAAAAAAAGAATAAAATGCTGGTGGGCAAGAGGGAGTGCATGGGGCCGGACAGGGAAACCAGTGTCGAGATAACCCTAGACTGGGCTCATGAAGCCCAGTGTATTTAATCATTTGCCTGGTGGTCCCTTAGGATGAAGTCCTGGCTCAGGTTTCTTTGCACACTCAGAGTAGTGTGTTTGTCTGTTGAGTTTTGATCTTCCATTTCTGACCACTACAGGACAAAAAGTATAGCCAGAATTTACTCTTTTAGTTTAGGAGGGAAAATCAGCTTCTGATACTGAGTAGGGTTCTTGATTACAGGGACAGCTGCATAATTTCCTGGAATCCAAGTCAGTGGCTCTTAGCTAGAGCTCACATGGGCTGTGTAACCATGGTTATTCAAGGCTCAACTGTATAAAAATAGAATATTTATTTAAAAAATAAAACATGACAAATAAGCCACTGCTGTCTCTACTTGTGGTAAAAACTGCCTCAAGACTCCCAATGCACAAACCCATGTAATCTGTGTCCCACACATAACGAGGTCCCCTGAAGCTGGCTATCTGCTTCCTCCTAGTCCCAGAGTGACTCCCAGGGTACTCAGTGAGTGGCACTCAGAAACCCTGAAAACTGTTCCCCCGGGAGCCTTTGTTTGTATCAAAGCTCCTCCCTCAGCTGCAGGGAATACCTAGTATCCAAAGAGACACCCCATGACTTTCCTTCCATCTCCATCCCTGCACTGGTTCTATGGCAGGTGGAATGACCACATTCAGATGCCTTTTCTTCATGACCTTAATTTGTGAATACTTGTGATCAATGGGCCACATCTCTGACCTCTACCTCCATTTTTCTGTTGAGCCACAAATTTGCAGGGAGAGAAGTAAGTGATATTTGGATAAATACTTCAATGATTAACAAAGAGAGCATATGAAGAAGAAAATGCATGTATGGGTTGTATTGCAGTTAAAGGATCAAATTATATAAAGCTGGAAAGGATCCTGTTGTCTATAAACATTTGTGTGTTTTACCCCTTGATTTATTACTTCCCAAAATTGGTGGCTCCACCATTTACCAGCTATGTTCCCTTGTACATTTTCTTATCTTCCAACAATTCATAGTCCACAGGCACACAGTTTATAAAGCTTAAGAAAGCATATTTATGGTTACTTACCATGTTACACACATCAGGGTCAAAAAACTTTCCCTGTCAAGAAATGGTCTCCGACATCTAACATAACATTTATTTTTTTGCAACCCCATCTAATTTCCCTTCATATCATGTCCCGAGGAGTTGAAGCACAACTGTGCACTGATCCCTTATAAGTACCTTTTCATACATTTTTCTTTATGAAAAGTGGTCTATTTCTGAAAAATAGATAAATGTAATTTTAAAAGCAATAAGAAAGCTTACCTTCAAAATGTACTCAACAGTAAACCATTTTGTAATGTTGCACATTTGCTTTACTTCCAGCAAAATGCACTTTTGAGGCAAGTCCATCTTTCTATTATTACTAAATTTACTTTGTTTTTTTTACAACTAATCTGTTACATAATTATATGTTGGTTAGTAATAGGGTAAAGGTTAC